GGATATTTATATCAACTCAATTCAACTGTTGACAATTTCAAAATAAAAGACAATGTGGTAATGTCAAAATAAAAGCGCAGCACTAAACACACTCGCACACAAATTGTACAGGTGCAGAGAACTTTATAAAGAGTTTAAATTTACTTTACATTTTATTTAACATTTGAATTTTATTTTAAAAATGTTATTTTTACATTAAAAATTATTAAGAATTAATTCAGAATAAAGGAATTGAAATTGATTTTTATTTTATTGAAAAACAAAACAAAAAAAACCACTACCTTTCAAAAATTTGGGGTCGTAAGATTTTTTGATGTTTTGGAAAAAGGTCTCTTATGCTCACCAAGGCTGCATTTATTTGATCAAAACTACAGTAAAAACAATATTAGCAATATTTAGAAATATTATTACCATTTAAAATAACTGTTTTCTGTTTGAATAATTGAGTAATTTATTCCTGTGATGCAAAGCTGAATTTTCAGCAGCCATTACTGCAGTCTTCAGTGTCACATGATCCTTCAGAAAATCATTTTAATATGCTGATTTGCAGCTCGAGAAGATCGTATTATTTCTTATGATCAGTATTAAAAACCGTTCAAAACAGCTGAAAACCATGATTTTTCAGGATTCTTTAATGAATAGAAAGTTCAAAAGAAGACTATTTATTTGAAAAAGGAATCTTTTCTAACCTCGTAAAAATCTTTACTCTCACTTTTGTCAATTTAATGTGTCCTTGCTGAACAAAAGTATTTATTTCTTGGAGCGTCATAATAATGATATCTAAAATATGTTCAAAAAAAGATTAAATGAAAGGATGCTAATAAAATGAATGAATTTGATCATATTTGACGTCACTAAAGGAGTGGGCCCTGGCTGCACAGATAAGACCCTGTTGTCAGCTATTGCCAGTGCTCTTCACACCAGTGCGGCTCCCATCACGGGCCAGCTGTCCGCCGCTGTGGAGAAGAACCCCGGCGTGTGGCTCAACACGACTCAGCCTCTCTGCAAGGCCTTCATCGTCACAGACGAGGATATCAGGTACGTCAACCCTCTGAATGATGCACTCTATCACTGTGGGGAAATTCATGCAAGTACAATGATACAGTTGAATTTGATGCTCACAGAAAGCAAGAGGAGCTGGTGTACAGCGTGCGAAAGCGACTGGAGGAGGCTTTGATGGCCGACATGTTGGCTCACGTGGAGGAAACGACTAGTGACGGCGACGCACTCAAACAGGAGGGGAGTTGCAATGATGATAAACAGGAAGTATAGCAAAGGTAAGCAAACAGTGGGAGAAAAATGACAGCATTTCTGCTATTGTTTCCTAAAGGAAATAGTCACCAAAATGCCTCTTTTTTTTGACAGGTCATTCAAATGTGTCTGAATTACCTGCACATGAGTCTCCCAACACAACCAGACGCTTGTCGATCAACACACCACGATGATCTCCCAGCTTCGCTGAATATCCATGTACGCCCCTCAGTTGGGATCTCTCTGAGACTGTTGGCTCGATTTTCAGGCATTTTTCCATTTTATTGTCATTATTTTTTAATTTTTCAAACATTTTTCTAAAAGAACTAAATGTTAGAAAAGTTCAGCAGTTGAACTGCCTTCTGCATTAAATGATTTTTGAGAAGAGGTATTTGGATTTGATATGATGACAATCAAGTCAAAAACACAGTCCTCTAGTTCTGGTGGGTGCTATACTTTGTCACAGCTGACCTAAACTGATAAGTTGATTATTCTCTGTGACTAAAAATGTTTAAAGCTCTCTCAAAAAGAGAAAGGTACAAGTTTGTGCAAAAATATCGACCTTCTCTCTTATTTTCACAATATTTTACCCTCTTTCTTAATCAAACTAAGGTGCAAATCAGTATTATGCTGTTTAAATTCAGTTTCAATGTGTTATTCTCAATGCCAAATGTTTTACTGGAGAGGCATTGATAAACATATAAACAGGTATGGCTTTGTTTGACTTCAAATGTTATGTTTTCAACTCATCTGGTGCTTGTTAAAACTGCTTGTTTTTTTCTTTATAAGCTATTCATACTTGACACTGAATAACATTTCCACAGTCTGAACCTGAAATTCAAATGTGAATGGTGATTCATAAAATGTGACGCGCAATTCATATAAAGTGATGTGTAAACATCATCCTGTGATAAGCAACTTAATTAAACGTGTTAGGGGGCGAAAACTATGTTTTTAAAAAATGTTTGTTCATAGCCCACAGCAGCAGGCATTTCTCAAAATAAAATGTTCTTGTGTTGAATATCAAGGCTGTTTCATTCTTCAATGATCCTACAGATGGTGCACTTGACAGCATATTTATTTATGTTTCGTTAGTGCTATCATTTATTTGCTATCTGTTTGTTTGCACTACTTTAAGCTGCTTAGAGAGTTTATGGTTCAGATCCAGAGCTGTTTTAAATGTCCCTCTCTCAGCTGAAGTATTAACTTGCCATTACGGTTATGATGCCTGAATCTCTAACAGACCAAAGGGCTCGGGGCCAGTCACTCGCTCTGAGACACAAATTAAAAGAATAGCTGAAGTTGTAGTGAGGTCTCCTTTGATCTGTCAAAGCAGAAATTAACTTTCTGGCCAGATGGCAACCACAGAGCTCTACACAAAGGTAAGTGCGTATGCTAACTTTTAGTAGCTATATATTTTTTGTAACTCCATTGGATGTCATAATAGATAGATAGATAGATAGATAGAGTTTGATTTTGTTTAGTGTTGTGCATAGATAGATAGATTTTGATTTTGTTTAGTGTTGTGCATAGTTTGATTTTGTTTAGTGTTGTGCGTAGATAGATAGATGGATAGATATAGTTTGATTTTGTTTAGTGTTGTGCGTAGATAGATAGATAGATAGAAGTTTGATTTTGTTTAGTGTTGTGCGTAGATAGATAGAGTTTGATTTTGTTTAGTGTGCGTAGATAGATAGAGTTTGATTTTGTTTAGTGTTGTGTGTAGATAGATAGATTTTGATTTTGTTTAGTGTTGTGTATAGTTTGATTTTGTTTAGTGTTGTGTGTAGATAGATAGATAGATTTTGATTTTGTTTAGTGTTGTGTATAGTTTGATTTTGTTTAGTGTTGTGCGTAGATAGATAGATAGATAGAGTTTGATTTTGTTTAGTGTTGTGCGTAGATAGATAGATAGATAGATAGATAGATGGATAGATAAAGTTTGATTTTGTTTAGTGTTGTGCATAGATAGATAGATAGATGGATAGATGGATAGAGTTTGATTTTGTTTAGTGTTGTGCATAGATAGATAGATAGATAGAGTTTGATTTTGTTTAGTGTTGTGCGTAGATAGATAGATAGATAGATAGAGTTTGATTTTGTTTAGTGTTGTGCTTCTGCATCTGTATTGTTTTCACTGTCAGAGGAGACTGGCTGGTGTTAATGTTTAATGGTGCAGTGAGCAGCAGCCCCTAAATTTAGCGATCAACTATGCATATTATAAACTTAACATTTAACATACATTTTTTTCTATTAAATGATTTTGTCTTTGTTACTCTTAAAGGATGGTAGCACAACATTTGTTAATGATTGTCTTCATGAGTTTGTCTGCATCCATATTGCATGTTTCCTCTCACTTGCAAAGTATGCTTGTGTAACAGGTAGTATTTAATAGTATTAATTACATTTACTCTTGCAGTTATTTCTTCTAGTTCTTTCAAAGCAGTTCTTTCTGCGTTTCCGCTCACATATTTTTAAATCTGTTTCATTGAGGTTCCAAATAATGGCTCATTGGCTTAGATATAACACCTAGAAGCATATAGCTATTCTTATGCACACATGCAAAGTATGTTGCAGCTGTTATTTCTATGAAATTAAGTTGTCTTTGCTATTCTGTTACTAATAAAATAGTTTTTTTCACTGCTTGTCCTATTTTGGCACAATCCCTAAATTGAACTTGAGTAGTTTTACTAAGGGCACCCATCTCACATGAAATTGAACTATGTCAAACATATTCTACCTGCCTTCCTGATATAAATTACTATGAATTTGATATGGTAATTAATACTGAGACACAAATTTGGGCAAAAAGCACTAATGACTTGTTTAAGACTTGAATCTTAAAGCTGAGGACTTGCAACTCGACTTGGACTTGCCTGTCTTGACTCGGGACTTGACTTGGGACTTGCCTGTCAAGACTCGAGACTTACTTGTGACTTGCAAAACAATGACTTGGTCCCACCTCTGGCAGTGAGTGTATTTATACTGATGGAGGAGAAAGAGTGTCACTGGGGTGGGACAGGCAATCACTCAGGCACATGAGCCGGTTGTGTAACATACAAAATATTGAATCGATTTCCTTGGTATCCATATCTTGAGACATAATCATAATCAAGTCTGTAGAATGCAATGTCCAGTCTTGCTCCTATAAGGCCACCTTCATGCACAGTTTATCTCCAACACACCTGCAATGGACTTTCTAGTAGTCCTGAAGATCTCAAATAGCTAGTTTAGGTGCAGGAAGCACATTGTACCAATTCATTCCTGAACTGTTTTTGAAATCCAGTTGAATGATGTGCCAGTACACTCGACATTTGAGTGTTTGAGTAATATCAATTACAAATTTAGCAAGAGATCAGGATCAAATACAAAAAACTTTGGACTTGGCACATACTGTTGATTATGATCAGTATGAATATAGTTACTGTTTTTGTTGTCTCTCAGGGGGCATGTGTGTGGGTGCCAGACCCAGAAGCTGTGTGGGTGTCTGGAGACCAGCACATATGAATCCAACTCACTGCTGGCAGAGTACGACACTTACACACATATGATTCTGATTTGAAACCATGAGCCTTTAAGAAAGAACCTGTCGCACTAACCACTAATCAAACTGTTCAAAACTTTATAAAGACAAAATGTTTTTCATAATTTTCAGTCGTATAGCTGTTCGCTTAAGACAAAATGCCTCTTATTTTATTTATATAGGTGCAAACCATTTATATGCTATTTTATTATTTTTAAACAAGGAGATGGAGTATCCAGTGTTGCCTCCAGTGGGTCTTCCTCCTCTGCGTAACCCTGATATTTTGGAGGGAGAGAATGACCTCACGGCTCTAACCTTCCTCCACGAGCCAGCGGTACTTCACAACTTGCGTGTGCGCTTTCTCGACTACAGTAGCATTTACACTTACTGCCGTGAGTTAAAATCAACAGAAAACCGTAGCAAGTTTTTACAGCCAATCACCTCTATTTTACTGGGTGTAAAGTTCAAAACACAAAAATTCAAATAACATCACTCATTGTTATATTGGCTACTGTAAAGAACGTTTACCAAGCACTGGGTTTATTGAAATGTAAATTATGCACAGAAAATTATGGCATATTTTTTAAAGTAGATTAATTTCACTTTTAATTTCAGAGATACATTAACCTCACTTAGACAACTTTTCATATTTAATAGAGATTGTGTTGGTGGTGTTAAATCCATATGAACAGTTGCCCATTTATGGAGAGGAAGTGATCGACGCTTACAGCGGCCAGGACATGGCTGATATGGAGCCACACATTTTTTCTGTGGCTGAAGAGGCATACCGAACTATGATCAGGTCAAGAACAAGCAAATAACAAGATCAGTTTACTTACAAAATAGTACCGTGTTTTTTGACATGTACCATGGTAATACCATGGTATTCTGTGAATTATTTGGAGAGCCATTTAAATAATATTTAAATATCAAAGTACCACGGTGTTACCAACACTACAATGATAGTACACAGCAGAGAAATTCATTCTGAATCTGTATTACATTACTTTAACTAAAACATATGGGTTTATCATTATAACAGAGAGGAGAAAAACCAATCCATCATAATCAGTGGAGAATCAGGCTCAAGTAAAACTGTATCTGCTAAGTTCACCATGCATTACTTTGCTGTCATGGGTGGTGCGGCTCAGCAGACCAGTGTGGAGGAGAAAGTGCTGCCATCAAATCCCATCATACTGAAAACCCACCCAGGTACTGAAACTTGATTTCTGACCTTTTTGGTAAAGTAGGAGGAGGTTGTTTGCAACATTTTAATCCTTGTAGGCAATTGGTAATGCAAAAACAACCAGAAACAACAACAGCAGTCGTTTTGGAAAGTATATTGAGATAGGATTTGGACGTAGAGGAGATATAATTGGGGCAAACATGAGGACCTACTTGTTGGAGAAATCAAGAGTTGTTTTTCAGGTGCTTGCTCAATCATATAGTTTACATATTATCTCATGATTCAATGACCAAGTTCTGTTATTGAGATGAATTTTGTTTCATAACACAGGCAGCTCAAGAGAGAAACTACCACATCTTCTACCAGCTTTGTGATTCCAGGGATTTGCCAGAGCTGAGGACACTCAAACTTGGTAAAGCCTAAACCTATGTCCTGAAAACATGTTTATTGGTGTTGGACATTTTTGTTCAGTTACACCATGCACTACTGCATCTCGCTAGATTCTACAGAGAACTTTCGTTACACCAACCAAGGACAAGATGTGCACTTTTCTGGCACAGATGATGTGGTTGAGCTAGAGTGGACAAGAAATGCCGTTACTGTTCTCGGTAAGCTAAAAAACATCCATATATTCCTCCAAAACAACACAACGCACTTTTTTGCAAAACTTGTGGTTCACCCCTGCAGTAGTGCAACCTGACCAGCAGATGGAGATATTTCGTATACTGGCAGCTATTCTTTATCTGGGGAATATCAACATACAAGGCAGTGGCCGAGGTGGGGACCGCAGCTACATTGATGTACAAGCACCACTTCCTATTATTTTGCACATTTCTGAGTTAGATTTGATGTCTGTATAGATGAAGAACAGGAGCAGTGCTAATTTGTTGACAAGTAGCATGTGCTAATACGGACATCATTTCTTATTCATCATACTGGCAAGCCAACGACCGTTCCTTGGCCATCTTTGCCAAGCTTTTAGGGGTGGAAGGTGCTCAGATGGCCCAATGGCTATGCCACAGGCGATTGGCAGTGGGAGGGGATATGCTTGTGAAGCCCATGTCAGGTCAGCAGGCTAATGAAGCAAGGGATGCTCTGGCTAAGCATGTGTATGAGCAACTGTTCACTTGGACAGTGCAGAGGCTCAACTCATCCTTAAGAGCGCACCGGGAACAGCCCAAATCTTTCATAGGAGTTCTTGATATCTATGGGTAAGAGTTATTTTGTATGTAACAAAAGAAAAATGTACATGAAGGATTGTTTGGTCAATCTCTTCTTTGATCATTTATAGGTTTGAGACTTTTGACAGGAATAGTTTTGAGCAATTCTGTATTAACTACGCAAACGAGAAACTCCAACAGCAGTTCAACAGGGTAAGTTTCCAGATATTGGGACTTGGTATACATAGGTGTCTAACATCTTCTGTCTAGTGAAGAGTGACTTAGTCCTTGAAGGGTTGCTCCACCCTAGTAGGGTGACCATACGTCCTCTTTTTCCTGGACATGTACTGCTGGGATTTCTAAATTGCCTAAAATGTCTGGTTTTTCCTATTGACATTCCAATTCCTTCTCGAACACTGCGATGGGTAGATTATTGTCCAATGCCTGCACACTATTGGTCAAACTACTTTTTAGTCATAAGGTGTGTTCGACTGAGCGATTAGAGAGCAGACGGCTCCTTATGCTTTCGAATCACTCTCGCGGTACTTTGATGTCATACACCACTCGGTCTGTGCAGTGATACTTTAATTTGAACATGCCTATTATCTCCAAAAAATATGAAAACAATAGGAAAACAAAGCCAAAATCTGGATTTTTGGCAATTTAGAAATCCTGGCCAGGACATTTCTGAGAAAAAGAGGATTATGGTCACCCCACACCCTAGTGTACATTGTACAAGTGCCTATTCTTGGTTACACTGAGCTTTTCAGAATCTGACTAATCATTAGCTGACCCTAACCCAAACCTGCAGTCCGTAACTTTTTTTTGTGTTCAAAATTTACAAAATTAATATAATAAGCGAGTACATCATGAATAAATTTTCCAAACTGTGTTTTTGGCTTATCCTGAATCACTATGGTACACCTATAATAAGTTTTATATTCAGACTATTTCAATTTCAGACTGGTACTGGTGGAACTGCTGCGGAGTAGCCCAGTACCTGCGTGATTCGTCACACACATAAAAAGAGAGAAGTAGCTCCGGCTACAATGTTCTTTTGCAAGACGCACGCAGTTCTGTTTATAGTAACAAGTATTTACTATAAACAGTATTTACTTTAAGTATTTGGTATATGCTTTTTGTCCTCGTTAGCACGTGTTTCAGCTGGAGCAGGAGGAGTATCTGCGAGAGGAACTTCCCTGGAACCATATTGAGTTCAGTGATAACCAGCCATGCATTGCGCTCATCGAAGGCCAGCTGGGCCTACTTGATCTTCTGGATGAAGAATGCAGAGTGAGGAATCTACATGTTGTAATCCATGCTGTAGTCCCTCTTATCATGTCATCAAGGTGTACAACCCAATATCGCTCTGTTCTAGATGTCTAAAGGCTCAGATGAGAACTGGGCTCGGAAGCTCTACGACCAGCACCTGAACCACAGCCCTCACTTTCGTAAACCACGCATGTCCAACTCTGCCTTCATCATTGTGCATTTTGCTGATATGGTCAGAAAACATCAATTCACCAATTGAAGGCACCAAACCTTTCAATGTTTGATATTATTGCTGGCTTTTTTAATTAGGTCCAGTATGAGTGTGGCGGCTTTTTAAACAAAAACCGAGACACTGTATTTGAAGAGCCCATCAATATACTGAGAGCTAGTCAGGTATTGTTTGAATAGCTCAAGTCTTGGCTGTTGAAAAATTTAGCTTTGTACTCACTTTGCCTCCTCACGACTCTTTGTACCCTTCACAGTCAAAACTAGTTGCCGAGTTGTTTCAGAAGGAGTCAGCAGGTGGATCCCTCCCCAACTCCTCTCTTGCAAACGGGAGCATATGTTCAGGGAAGAGAGCTCACCGAGAGCACAGATTAGCTGTGGGCTTTCAGGTGAGCTGCTTCTCCTGGTTCCTGTCTAAAGAAAACTCTTGATTAACCAGTCATGCTCAAGTCCATCTAATGCTGGCTGCACACTAGACGATTTTCAAATCCTAAACGATTTTAAAACCATGGAAGACCACAGACATGAAGACAGTTTCAACCGATTTTTAGCCTTATAATCCTCTGAACGCGCACACTAGACGATTCGACCACATCGCGAGACCACACACTTGTCGATTGTAGGAACGATTTCACAGTGACACGAGATCGCACGGATACTCGCGAGATCAAACGTGACTAGAGAAGATAAACAAATGGAGAACAATCAACGTTGTCAACTGGCTCTCCCGGTGCGCATTCTGTTTCACAGTGAAAAAAAAAGTATAAAAAAGAATATGGGTGATGTATTCTGCTTTCGTGGCATGTTTGTGGCTGCCAAGTTTCAGCTATAGAAGCACGCAATATCCGTTAAGTGATGCTTGCTCGCTCTCATTGGCTATCGCGGGTATCACGTCAGAGTCACGTAATCACGTAATGACACCATACAATAGAGGATTTTTTGGACAAAAAATCATTTGCGACAAGCCTCAACACCCCCCGATCGGGCTTAAAATCGGCCTTAAAATTGTCTAGTGTGCAGCCAGCATTAAGGTATTCTTTGACTCTTAAGGTCTTAAATTTTTACCTTTTCTTACATATTCTCTTTGTGTGTCTAGTTTCGTCAATCCCTGCAACTTTTGATGGACACCTTGAACAGCACCACACCGCATTATGTCCGCTGCATAAAGTCCAATGACCTCAAAAAGCCATTTCTGTAAGAGAATAAATAAAATGTAATTTGTGTTCATGTCTATTTGAGTTTGAGTAAACTTTTCTCGTCTCTCTATATCAGATTTGATCCCAAGCGAGCAGTGCAGCAATTGCGAGCATGTGGAGTCTTGGAGACCATCCGAATCAGTGCCGCAGGCTACCCCTCCAGGCAAGTACACTTCTATAGGTCTCTCAATTCAGTTCCCTCTTCCATCCCTGACTCTGTACTCCAGGTGGACATACGAGAAATTCTACACTCGTTATCGGGTGCTGCTACGTGGTTCTGTTTCTAAAGATGATATGCGCCATTCCTGCCAGAGTGCCCTTCCTGATCTCATCTCTGATCCAGAGCAGTACTACTTTGGCAAGGACAAGTTCTTCTTCCGGGCCGGACAGGTTGTAGTACTGGAGAAGCTGAGAGGGGACCGGCTACATGCGGCAGGAGTTTTGATCCAAAGCTGGGTGAGAGGATGGCTGCAGCATAGGCATTATCAGCGGCTCCGGTGGACCACCTTCATCCTGCAGCGGTACATCAGAGGAACCATGGGCCGAAGGTGGGTTAGAGTGTTACCTAGAGAGCACTCTATGTACTGTATGCTTTTTAGGTCCTATTCTGGTTGAGTAGTTATTTCTAATGGGTGTTTTTGTATATTTGTGACTCTAATTTGAAGTACGCGCTTCAATGTTACCTAACCATTAGGTTGGCGTGGAGCCTCCATTACACACGTGCAGCTTTAATCATCCAGAAAACATACCGCATGCTGGCGGTGCGACAGCTTTATCTTACCATCAGAGAGGCCACCATCAAAATCCAGGCTTTCATCAGAGGCACTCAGGCTCGTCGGATTTATAGACAGGTAAAGTGCTTCATGTGTGTCTGGGTATAGTTACAAAAATACAAATAAAGTTACAGGTACATTTCCCATAATGTTTGACCGTACACCTAAATCCTGAAAAAAAATAGCCAAAGATTTACTTGATTCTAGTCTTTACTTTACAATCTTGAAGTTCTAAAGGCCTGTTCATACCAAGGACGATAACTATAAAGATAATGATAAAGATATAGGCCAAGTTCTAAAAATAGTTCTCAATATTAAAGAATAGCAGAGTCCACATCACCGCTATAACGATAAAGGCACAGAGAAACGATATTGTTGGAATCACTTTCGGAACGTGTTTTTCCAGCTGATGAACAATAAAAACATTGACACCCAATCAGAATCAATCCTTCTATCATGAGCTCGAGAATTTAAAACAGCAGATGTGCATGTGCTTAGAATAAACAGATGATATCGTCCGCTGGTGTGGATTTTCTTATCTTTATAGTTATCATTCTTGGTGTGAACGGGCCTTAACTTTCAAGTACCGCATCTCAATGCAGCATCTCTATTATAATATGCAGAGTTTTAGAGTCAAACTATCAGGCGAAGCAGTTGACTAATGTGTGTGTGTGTTTTCGGAGTACTATAAGGTCTATGCTAAAAGTCTTTGTTGTTCAGTTGCATTTTCCCTTTTCCCATCATCCACTCCGGCATAAATAATTAATGTGGTTCACCTTTTGCTAGTTTTATGTATATTGTTTTGTCATGTTCATTAACTGTGCGTTGTCAGAATAAGTTTGTTTCACTTTAAAATTATCAGTTGATTGTTACCCTTGTTGTGTTTCATGTGTCAAGTGTTTAGGTCTGTATTTTTGTGTGTGTGTGTGTGTGTGGTCCATGTGTTGTTTCCAATAGCATAAGAAGAGTTTGCTCTCCATGATGTACATTTGTCATAGAAAACAATAGCTTAAGCTAGCTGAAGTTAACTATTTAACATAAGGGCACAATCTGCTAGACTTTAAGCTTAAAAAATCCTCTTCAAATCACTGAATCTTAACAGGTATTTGATATAACAGGTGACCTTTTCGGTTATGGCAGCTTGACATTTTACGTTACGATCAGTAAATTAGTAGCCTACAGAGTGCATATGTATGAATGTTGTTGTCTAATGTAAACATTATAACTTTACCGTGCACTTTGTTTTATAAATCTCTCTCTAGATGCTCACAGAGCAGGCGGTGGTGTTCTTGCAGGCGCGGGTGAGAGGCTGGCTGGCCCGGTGCAGTTTCAGACGCATCAGAGCTGCAGTGGGGCTCCTGCAGTGCTGCGTGCTGTGGCTCGATCGGTGGAGAAATACAGAGAACTCAATAAAGGCATGGAAATCAAACTCATGCAGCTGCAGCTCCGAGCCGACCAACCAGGTGAAAGCGTCGGTGTTTAGTTTGGATGTTCACAATTCTGTAATCCCTTTATTCAAATTAACAATGGTTTAAATTAACCATGGTTTTACTGAAGTAAAAGTGTAACCATGTTTTTTTTTTTTTTGGCGTATTGATTGCATTTTGTATAACCACAGTTTTACTACATGTTACATACCCTGGTTAAACTATGGTTAGTGTAGCAAAACCATGGTTAATTTGTGGCTACCATGGTTTAACTATGTTTTTGTGGTTTTATTTGTACTAAACCATGGTTAATTTTCCTAAGAGAATGATTTTTTCCCCAATAAAATAATTTTTTTATTTAATAAATATCACCTTTTTTTTTGATAACTACTTGTCATGATGTAAGTAATGTTCAGTGTTGGGAAAAGTTAATGCATTAGTAATGCATTACAATATTGTGTTACTCCCTTAATCCAAAAGGCTCTTTCACACCAAAAGTGAAATGAATAAACCTCAGGCTGAAGGAAATATAAATTCACATCTGTACAGTAGAGGGTGCAACTCAAACCTTTCAGTTGTGCTGCCATTCTGGATTGCATGAGGAATAGGACTATGGAGACAGATCATTGGAAAGTGCGAACACTCGCGTCCCATACACCGCACGACCCTGAGTGTCTCTGTGAACAGGAGCACAGACAGAACAAACCAGCAGAAGGCAGTGCCGTCATCTTTCTCTTTTTATTCTAAACACAAAATCCGAACTAACTTGAACATAAACACAAATAACATTGCTAACGCAAAAGCCCAACCATCTTACTTAACACATAAATCAACTCTAAACAAATACCCATAATGCACCTGGCTGCTAGCGCTCACTGCCGGGTCATTACAATACCAAACCATGCACGCAGCAGCCGCTTGCTTTAGTTAAAAATAACAGTGTTCTGTGAATCTTGATGCTTTAATAACAAATACTTATCGGGGGCGTGTATGCTGGGATTTCATAAATGTAATGGAGAATAAAGTAACAGTAACTAGTAATGTAACTAATTACTAATTACTTTTGAAATAAAGTAATCAGAACAGTAACATGATTACTTTTAAAAGGAGTAATCCGTAATCAGTAATTTAATTACATTTTCAGAGTAACTTGCCCAACACTGCCCATTAAAATGTCTTTACATCAAGGACCCGATCATGGAATAATGCACAGCGTTGAGCTTCTTGAGTCTGTTCAGTAAGGAGTGTTTTGATTGGTGGATTAAAAGCTCACCGCGATTGGCTGAACGGAACATCCTCCAAAAAAAATATATTTATGATTCTTAACCTGCCAGGAAGGTCTCAAAAATACCTCACACAAATTCAAAGCAGTCCACGCATGTGTGATGATTTGCAAATGCAGATTCAACGATTCATAAATACATGTAACATCATTCATGTGTGATGGAAATTAATTCAAGAAATTTATATATACATATTTGTGTAAACATTTTAAATTTATTTAGGTAAGATGCATTTGTGTGAGCATTTGGGGAAATATTTATGCTTTTACTTGTGTATTTATGAATTGTGTTTTGAATTTACGAATCGGATTTTGTAAATGTAAATTGTGCTGTGCATTTATGAATTTTGTTTTGCAAATGTGTTATTTTTGAGGCTGATCTGTCTCCATATTAGGACGCAGGAGAAGAAAGTTCAACACTCTTAAGCAATAAAAAACAAACACAAAAAACCCCACAAATGTTATGTTTATCTATAGTCATTTTTGCTTATTAGTATGGTTGAATTGGATTGTCGAAGGTCAGCAGCAAAGACACTGGTTAATAAAATGGAATTAAATACATAACGGATATTTGTGCTATTTAACATAAGTTGATTTTTGCAGGTTTGCATTTCACTGTTTTTATTCATTTTGAGGAATACTGAATCTGTTTTTGTGAAAGTGAGATGAGTAAATGCATGTTGAGATTTAGTCTATAGAACTACAGTAACTATCATGTTTACACAGCGCACACAACGCCTCTGCATTTACTCCCGATTTCTCTCAACATGGGGACAGAAGAGCAATAAATAAATTCAGTCAATAAATGAAAAAACAAAGTAACTTGTGTTACTTATTCGAAAAAGTAATCTGATTACGTAACTCCTGTTACTTGTAATGTATTACCTCCAACACTGGCAGTATTTAAATTGTTAAATAGTGTATATTGTGACTCGTGTGTCCGGGTTGGGTATCGTTTGAATTTGATCGATTCCGATTCCGGTTCTGCTTATCGATTCCGATTCTTATCGATTCCTAATTCCGATTCCAATAGGATAAAAAAAATCCATTAAACAAATTTTAAGTCAAATATTTAGATGTCAAACATATTTATTCTGTTTTATGTCTATGGTTTTATCAAAAAAATACCACAGAAAAAAACAACTAGACTAATATAAATTTCAAACATTAAATTGTTAAAGACAAGTAAACAAATTAATGATAGGCAGCACGTTTATTAGACGGCTGTCTCTTTAACACCGAACACACACCGATCTAAAAATACTGTTACACATGCGTTTTCGTTCTCAACTGTTTGCGTTCACTTAAGACAAAAAAAACCCGGCTGTGTTTATGATGATATACTGACGTATTTCGTGCATACTGGTCGATAAATGTGAAAGAGAAGTCAGTTCTGGCCCGGAACAACCTTTGTGTAAATGCACGGAACAGTTCGAGAACGGACACAGGTCGGGAACCTGCATCGGGACCACTGTTCTCTGTGCTCGCGCTTCAGATGTGTGCCAGTTCTTTCCCTGCTGTTCTCTGTGCTCGCGCTTCAGATGTGTGCAAGTTCTTTCCCTTCCTGTACTTAAATAGTTTAAAATCACATTAAAATGCGAACGCGGGAATCGTTAAACGGAATCGAAATGCACATGTCTTATCCGATTATTGGAAATGGTTCTAAAATGGAACCGGTTCTCGATACCCAACCCTAAGTGGGTCTCTGAGGGAGACTCTTCAGGCCGAGCGAGAAGCTCACAGCTGTGGTCCAGCCTCCTCAAACTCCAGATCCAGCTGCAGGAGAATGCAAATACTGCTCCGAGTCCTTCACTCACAAACAGGAGGAGAGCTGAGGAGAAAGCCGCTCAAGAGATCCTCCGGCTTACACAGGTGAGCCATGTGTGACATATTAAATTTGGTTAACATCAGCCACTTTATTTTCCTTAAACAACTTTCTTTTCTTGCAAGGCAGCTGGTTCCGTTGACATGGGCTAGTTTTGTTTGTTTACTCCCCGTTTACTCTAGGAAATCCAAGCTCTCCGAGTTGAGAGATTCTTTGGAGAAAGAGAGGGATGATCTGGCCATTGGTTTACAGGATCAGGAAAAAGCTCTGGAGGGTGAATCATGTGTCTGCCACAGTGTCATTTTCACCATCTCAACTCATGTATTGTTTAAGAAATGAATGAGATGGCTGACTAATTTTAATGGATTTAATGGAAAGTGTTTGTGTGTCTGTATGTTTCAGAGAACTGTCAACAGACTGTGGATCAGGCATCAGTGCAAGCAGAGCTGGAAGAGGAGAGGAGGAGATACCAGAGTTTACTGAGAGAATTCACAAGACTAGAGCAAAGATACGACAACCTGAGGGATATGAGCTTATTTACAGCCAATGAGGTACATCTTTACTGAAAATGATCTTTCAAGGCAACGTTTCCATATCACATATCTCTTCAGATTTCTGAGCCGTGTGAATTTTGAATGCAACATCCCAAAAAGTTAGCATATACATTTTTAATGACAATTATTCATTATTATAGTCACACAGACACTAAACTAAAATAAAAAAGTAATAGAAAACTATATACAAATATGGTAAAAAAAAAACAGTATTAATAAAAATGACAAAACCACATAGCAAAATGACTAAAAGGTTAACTAAAATTGAACTGAAAACAGAAAATATCTAAATAAATGATACTATAATAGTATCTAAGTGACACTAAAATAACACTGCCCTGTACATGTACAAATCTAAAATATGACATTGTATATTAATTAAAAAGACATTTGAATGTAGTAGCTAATGATCTGTTATGCGTTATATAATGTTGTATTAGTTTACTGCTTTTATTAAGTGTTAAATATTAATATACAAGTATTTAATATTAATATACATGTGAATATATGTGGGTGTTCAGCGTTCACGTGGACACAGACGAACAGATTTGACTGCATCTTTGGAGCCTCCTTCACCCGTCACCACACCGTTCTCCAGCTTGCCCGTCTTCCCTTCACCTGAGGAGGTCAGGAGGATCAGCGTGACGTCACCCACCGACAGGAGACCCTGGAGAGATGAGCAACCTCTGGTTAGTGTTTCAATCGAAACCAAACGTGTGTCTCTCACTGTATGCAAAATAAAAACTGTAATAACAAAAACAGGAATGCTTACCTGCAGAACATCGTAATGGAGGATATGAGCATTGCGAAGGACACTGCTGAAAGTATGAAGGGGGAGGATCTCAGATGCGCTTATGACGCTGTACGGGTGGCCAACAAGTCAGTTTCCTTCTGCTCACCTCACGTACATCAGATTGATACTCTGGAAGTCATAAATGACTTATATCATACGCATTACATTGTACGTTTTCAGGTTCCTAGAGAGGCAGCTGTTGTTTCAGAGAGCGCAGTGGGAGCAGGAGATATCAGATCTCAGGATGAAACTCAAGACAGAGATACACCTGGAGATCCTGAGATGAATGTACCGGTTCCATTTGAACTTACCATTTATTGTTCTTTGTACTTTCAAGGGCCTTCATAAAAAGTGCCTCACACGGTTCCAGGGGGTGAACAAAGGCCTCCTGTAGCGAATCGATACGTTTTTGTAAGAAAAATATCCATATTTAAAACGTAATAATCAATTTAATGTAGCTTGCGCCAATATTTGTACACGGAAGCAGTTCCGGGCTGATGACGTATGAGGTCGGCTCTGCGCATGCGCCGGTGAGTCTCGTGAAAACCAACGTTTGTTTACAGGAGCAAAGGAAGCAAAGTTTCCTTACTTTAGCAAAGGAAAACCAGTCTCCTCTTGGCTTATATTGGAATCCTCCGACATTCTTCTTTACAAATGTTCGTTTTGTACTTCTAATTAATGACCGTTGTTTTGTTTTGATCTCTCCCCTGCGCTTCCATGTGCGTCACTTCTGAGCGGCGCATGCGCAGCGCTGACCTGATACGTCATCCGCCCGGAACTGCTTCCGTGTACAACTGTTGGCGCAAGCTAGATTAAATTGATTATTACGTTTTAAATATGGTTATTTTTCTTACAAAAACGTATTGATTTGCTACAGAAGGTCTTTGTTCACCCCCCGCAGCCGTGTGAGGCACTTTTTTATTATGGATGGATGCACTTTATTTCACTTCTTTTGGACTGAAGCATACAACACCCGCTGAGTGGCATTAAACAGCTTGGAAGATCAAAGACCATTTTTTATATAACTCCGACTGGATTCGTCTGAAAGAAGAAAGTCATATACACCTAGGATGACTTGAGGGTGAATAATTCATGGGCTAATTTTCATTTTTGGGTGAACTAACCCTTTAAGCTAACTGAGACTTGTTATAGCACTTGCATATCATTGCTCTTTTGTTGATTTTGATTGCTTCCATTGACCTTATTTGTAAGTCGCTTTGGATAAAAGCGTCTGCTAAATGACTAAATGTAAATGTAAATTTATTCCCAAAAATGGGAATTACAGTAAGAAATTGGAAGTGTATGGAGCCAATTTTAAAGGGTTTAAACTAAAGGGATAGTTCACCCAAAAATGAAAATTCTGTCATTAATTACTCACCCTCATGTCGTTCCAAACCTGTAAGACCTTCGTTCATCTTCGGAACACAAATTAAGATATTTTTGATGAAATCTGAGAGCTGTCTGACCCTCCATAGACAGCAACGCAACCGTAATGTTCCCAGGTCCAGAAGCATAGTAAGGACATCGGTAAAACAGTCCATGTGACATCAGTGGCTCAACTTCAGTTTTGCGAAGCTACGAGAATACTTTTTGAGCGCAAAGAAAACAAAAATAACATAATTTATTCAACTATTCTTCTCCCCCGAGCCGAGAGGAAACTGGTTATCCTTTGCTGTATATTCTCACCGGAGCTTACGCTACACCTACGTCCTACGTCATCCACTGGAACGTCACTCTCTCATGAACGTGTGTATGACAGTGAGATTACAGTTTATAAAGTTTTAAATATGGATATTATTCATACACAAACGCATCGCTTCACTTCAGAAGGCCTTTATTAACCCCTGGAACCATATGGAGCATACTTTATGATGGATGGATGCACTTTTTTGGGCTTAAAAATCCAGACACCCATTCACTGCCATTATAAATCTTGAAAGAGCCAGGACATTTTTTATATAACTCCAATTGTATTTGTCTGAAAGAATAAAGTCATATAGACCTAGGATGGCTTGAGGGTGAGTAAATCATGGGCTAGTTTTCATTTTTTGGGTGAACTATCCCTTTAAGAATGCGTAAAGGCCAGAACAAATTTTAATCTGCATCTGGGAAACATGTTTGATGTGTATAGAGTAGATTTTAAGACATTAATTGTTGAGTGATTCATGTTGTAGAAACACGGCAATGATCTGGACGTGACGGCTGTGTGGCTGAAGAACGCTTACCTGCTCAAAGACCTGCTCTACCAGCACTCTCCTCGACTGAATGTCAGCAGTTTCTTTATTTCTTATGCAGAAATGACTTCAAATCGAAATATGCCTCTTCTCCTGCAGGACGTGAGGGGCTCAGAGGAGCTGGTTCCTCTGGTGACGGACGTGCAGGACTCTGTCCGGGCACTCAGTGATCTGTGTATTCAGGCCAATCAGCAGCTGCTGTCCATCTCCGAGAGTCGCCTGCAACCCATCATCGGTACAGTAATACAGACACAAAGACCTTTCTTACACAGCTGCCAATGACCTTGATATATATACAGTATATGTATATTGAAAATTCTAATTTTCTCTGGATTTATGATTTATAGCTATGCGTTTGAATAAAACGTATTTTTTGTTTTATTCTGTGAACATGTTGATGACATTTTTTAAATAAAAAAAACAAACATTTATTGTTGAGTGATTCATGTTGTAGAAACACGGCAATGATCTGGACGTGATGGCTGTGTGGCTGAAGAACGCTTACCTGCTCAAAGACCTGCTCTACCAGCACTCTCCTCGACTGAATGTCAGCAGTTTCTTTATTTCTTATGCAGAAATGACTTCAAATCGAAATATGCCTCTTCTCCTGCAGGACGTGAGGGGCTCAGAGGAGCTGGTTCCTCTGGTGACGGACGTGCAGGACTCTGTCCGGGCACTCAGTGATCTGTGTATTCAGGCCAATCAGCAGCTGCTGTCCATCTCCGAGAGTCGCCTGCAACCCATCATCGGTACAGTAATACAGACACAAAGACCTTTCTTACACAGCTGCCAATGACCTTGATATATATACAGTATATGTATATTGAAAATTCTAATTTTCTCTGGATTTATGATTTATAGCTATGCGTTTGAATAAAACTTATTTTTTGTTTTATTCTGTGAACATGTTGATGACATTTTTTAAATTAAAAAAAAAAACATTTAAATTAAATTTTAAATAAAAATGTCATTTAGAGCATGAAATGACAATTGGTCAAAATAACAAAAAAGATGACATGTTTATATTCATTTTCAGACAACACAATACCAATAACCCTGATTTTCAATCACAACAAATGAAAACATTTGTTATTTTGACCAATTGTCACTTTCTGCAAAAAAAAGCTCTAAATGATCATTCTAATATGATATATTTGAACATAAAATTGACATTTAATTTCATAACTTTCATTAATAATATGTTTATATACATAAATTGTGTGTGTGTAATTGATTATATGAACATAATTTTAATATACGTAAACAAACACATACATATAAATTTTTAATATTAACAAACTATAAAAATAATTGTATATTATATAAATAATATAACATATTAATATACTTTTATTACATTATTAATACATTGTAGATACATGTATAATATAATAAATTACACATACACATTTTTATATGTCATTTATGTGTAATTTATTATTTATTTGTTGTAATTTATATATTTTTATATTTATAATTAAATGTAAATTATATACACACATATCTGTGTATATGTATATATACATATTTATATAAATATATGAATTTATTTACTCTCTCTCTCTCTCTGTATATATATACTGTGTATATATATATATATATATATATATGAAGAGTTTATTTGCAAAAACAGATAACTCCGTT